AATTTTCAGATCTATACCATAGTTTGTGAACTCTATAACTTTCCTACAAACTAAATAATACATCCTAATTTTGGTTATTTTCACCAAAGACATGTAGCAGAATACATCTTGGCCTAAATTTATGAAGAACAGTTATTTATTTGTAAACTTTTATAACAGAAACAAAGAAAAATGTGTTTTTTTTCAAAATTTTTGGTCTTTTTTTGTTAATTAAGCAAAAAATAAAAACCCAGGCGGTGATTAAATACCACCAAAAGAAAGCTCTAGTTGTGTGAAGAAAATGATAAATTTTAGTTTGGGTACAATGTTGTATGACCGCGCAATTGTCATTCAAAGTGTGAGAGTGCTGAAACCTGAAAAATGGCCTGGGCAGGAAGGTGTAAAATTTCCCGGTATTGAATTGGTTAAATGAAAGTCCAAAAATTTTGAAAAGGTGTTTTTCTGATAAAATTTCAAATAAATAATATTTCATCATAAATCTTAGCCAAAATTTATTCAGTCATCTTTTTAGTAAAAAAAATAACCCAATTTAGTTTATAACCAAAAATATAAAAAAATTTTTTTACAGTTTTATATTATTATTTTCTTCTACATACTGTCACCCTAGCAGTACATTGTCACCATGGTGACACTGTACTACTTGTGTGGGGTGATGAAGATTTTTATTTTTTTTATTTTACACTGATTGCTTTTACACTTATAAATGCTATAAAAGCAATAATTTCTCATTCTCTCTGGCTGCATTCCTGCAGCCATTGAGAACTGCTGTGTGAGCTGTGATTGGTCACAGCTTGTCACATGGTACAAGGCTGTTGTGAATAGCCTTGTACTATGTGACCTCTGTGATCATTCACAGATTTCACACGTAGTAAGCAATGATGTCAGAAGTGACACCTTGCTTACTACTCTGCATGTGCACTGGATTGCGGTGCTGTGCGCTCCCAGGGAGCGCGCACAGTCCAAAATGGTGGGCGCCATTTTATATACAGCGGCTTAAATACAGCGTTTATATACAGCGGCTGGATAGCAAGTAGTTAAATTACATTAAAGTCATTTTTTACCCCATAATCATAATAATACCTGACTAAACTTCATTTCAGTTGTTTAAGCATTCAATTAGGGTCCTTTCATAATCAGTATTCACAGTTTTTTATACTTTCACATGCTCATGGTTGTATGTTTTTCGACCAATCTCCTTAATACCTCATATCATTTCAACTTCAATTCACACAAAAAATAACTTCTCTATTAAGCCTATTTGTAAGCATTGGTAAAACACAACTTGAACGATATATATACAGCAGGGGCGGACTGACCATTTGGAAACTTGGGCACTGCCCGAGGGCCTGGGGTCAGTAGCGGGCCCGATGAGATGCCCCTGGTACCTTTTTCATAGGGTTTTTTGAGTTTGGGCAAGGACACAGGGGCCCCATGGTCCCCTATTGCTCCGGGGACCCCATGAGTTGTCAGTCCGCTCCTGATATACAGTTGTGTTCAAAATAATAGCAGTGTGTTGAAAAAAGTGAATAAAGCTCAAAATCCTTCTAATAGCTTTTATTTCCATACACACAAATGCATTGGGAACACTACACATTCTATTCCAAATCAAAACATGAAGAAAAATATATCAAATTTGTATTGTTCCTCTAAAAAAATTGAAGAAAAGTGAATATTAGACTGTTCTAAAAATAGCAATGTTTGTATTCCTCTTTACAAACTCAAACATTCACTATATAAACTGAAAAATGTTCGAAGATTTTTTTTTTCCTTTGAATCACTTAATGAATATTTAGTTGTATAAGCACTGTTTCTGAGAACTGCTGTACATCTGTGTTGCATGGAGTCAACCAACTTCTGGCACCTGTGAACAGGTATTCCAGCCCAGGATGATTGGACTACATTCCACAGTTCTTCTCTATTTCTTGGTTTTGCCTCAGAAACTGCATTTTTGATGTCACCCCACAAGTTTTCTATTGGATTAAGATCCGGGGATTGGGCTGGCCACTCCATAACGTCAATCTTGTTGGTCTGGAACCAAGAAGTTGCAGGTTTACTATTGTGTTTGGGGTCGTTGTCTTGTTGGAACACCCATTTCAAGGGCATTTCCTCTTCAGCATAAGGCAGCATGACCTCTTCAAGTATTCTGATGTATTCAAACTGATCCATGATCCCTGGTATGCGATAAATAGGCCCAACACCGTAGTATGAGAAACATCCCCATATCATGATGCTTGTGCAACCATGCTTCACTGTCTTCACAGTGTACTGTGGCTTGAATTCAGTGTTTGGGAGTCGTCTGACAAACTGTCTCTTGCCACTAGACCCAAAAAGAACAATCTTACTTTCATCAGTCCACAAAATGTTGCGCCATTTCTCTTTAGGCCAGTCAATGTGCTCTTTGGCAAATTGTAACCTCTTCAGCACGTCTTTTTTTCAACAGTGGGACTTTGCGGGGGCTTCTTGCAGATAGCTTGGCTTCACATAGGTGTCTTTTAATTGTAACAGTACTCACAGGTAACTTTAGACCTTCTTTGATCTTCCTGGAGCTGATTGTGGCTGAGTCCTTGCCATTTTGGCTATTCTTCTATCTATTCGAATGGTAGTTTTTCGCTTTCTTCCACGTCTTTCAGGTTTTGGTTGCCATTTTGAAGCATTTGCGTTCATTTTAGCTGAGCAGCCTATCATTTTCTGCACTTCTTTATATGTTTTTCCCTCTCCAATCAACTTTTTAATCAAGGTACGCTGTTCTTCTGAACAATGTCTGGAACGACTCATTTTCCTCAGAATTGCAGAGAGAAATGCACTGTAACCAGCATGCACAACATTTGCTGCCTTCCTTCCTTAAATAAGGGCAATAATTGCCACCTGTTTTTCAAAGAATGAATGACCTCACTAATAGAACTCCACACTGCTATTATTTTGAACATGCCCCTTTCAATTAGTGATTCAATTACACAGAATCAGTAGCATGCATGTCATGACTGTTGGGTCTGTTGGATTTCTATTACTCTACTATACCTGCTAGTAAATTATTTGCCATTAGAAAAATCATTTCTATCAAAAACAGTGATTGGTCAGGTTAGTGATGTCTGACTGCTATTATTTTGAACACAACTGTATATCACTGTCAGTGTTATTTCATTGTCCCTCATGAATCAATGTAACAAGTTACCACACAGGACTATCACCCCTTAAGGAATAACACTAGCTTCAATAAAGCAATAAAATAACACTTCACAAGTTAAGATAATAAGATAATAAAAATAGAACTTTCAGCAGATAGAAGAGGTGTTGAATTATTGAGCCTGCACCTCATGTACAGCCTCCTTACAGACCAGACCCCAACAAGATGGTTAATTGTATTAAGTAACACATGAGGAGCATTTAAGTAAGTAGAGGATAAGAGAGGGAAGATAATTGTGTGTAGAATGTATGTTTTCTTTTTTCTTTATAATGTTGCCTGGAGCTCCCGCCGGCTGGAGATCGAGGTATAAAAGCCTTGTCAATCGGTTTCATTATAACAATTTTATTAAGTAATAGAAATGAAGTTGAATACATGCCTGGTTTGGTCAGATGCTTGGTGCCTAGGAGCAAAAACATCCTGATCTGGATGTACTGTATATATTGTGGAATGAAAATATTAATCCTATTAGCTAAAATTTTAGTTCATAATTCAAGATCATTGTTGATAAGGGAAATGAGGCAGCAATTTGAGCAAATTCTGATAGGAATCTAATATTGTAGTTTTGCTCTACTTGGGAATATGTTTTAGATTTATCCAAGGATTTCACTGATACAAGGATAGATGTAAATTTATATTATGATGGGTGCTGTCTCTTGAGCCCTTACATGGGAGTTAATGATTTTGACAGAAGACAGGGAAACAACAAAAAGGCAGATACTTAAGACCCTTTTCACACAGGTGTGATTTGTTCAGTCACATTTTTTCAAAGAAAAAAAGGGATGGTTTTACAGGTTTCAGTTCAGTTTACATCAATTTTTACAACCACCCTTCTAGCATCCTTAAAGGATAAAATAAAAAAATTAAACCATGCAAATTGCATTAAATACACAAAGCAGTTAACACTAAATGAGGATATCTTCTCTCTTCAACATACATATAAATAACAGGTGTTGCGCTAATATATAAATCAATTGCAGTGACATAAATACCATAAATGAATGACAGGTGTAAATTATCCAATAAATTCATAAAAGTAACATAAATTAGCAATAAAAATGATAAATAATTCATATATATACAAACATAAACAATAAATAAAGTGCTCCAACGTGAACCCCAATAATAAAAATATTGTGCAAAAGTTCCTTAAAGGGGATGAAAGCAGTCTCACTTTATAATAAAAGATGCGACTCAGCGAGTGCTTAAAGATGGAGCAGCTTGTACACTAAAAAGGAATCCATTAAAACTGTCCAAATCAAATGTAAAACACATAGTGCAGCGCTAAAATTATATAAAACTCTAAATCCAAGTAAAGACAAAAATATAAATATAAATGCCTGAGGCTGAAAATTCGTGATAAACATTACTAGTAAAGCCTTTAAAACATAAAGTAAAAACAATATATATTCAATGTCCAATCAGAACATGCACTAAAAAGAATAAATGAACAAATATTCAGTAAAGGTGCAGGAAATTATATAGGATAGGTGACTCTGATAATCCCAGTGAATCATATAATCCGGAGATGTGCAGGAGAATAGTAAAATTGCACACTCACCAGATGCGCAATTTACATGTGCAATTATATCCTCAATAAACCAGAGGTCCCCTCTGTCCTGGAAAGGATGCAGCCTGGGATGGATAACCTCTTCCGTGGGTATTGGCAGTAGGATGTCACCTCTAGAGGTCCCCTTTAAAGGTAAGCTGCGATGGGGGTCTGCTGTAGATCTCTTTCCTGTTTACAGACTTAAGGAATGCAGGATTGTGGTGTACAATGGCCCTAAAACTCTATATAATGCAGTACATAAAAACTTACCCTGGGTCAGCAGTTTTTTAAATTTTCCACATAATATGTGCATTCTTTCTTTTTAATTTTTTCTGAAATCCAGGAGCATATATTTCCCTGCAATAAATAAATATTACTCCAATGTGCTTAACACAATCTATGTTATTTTGTTTGCTTATATAAATACTGGTTTTGAATATATATATATATATATATATATATATATATATATATATATATATATATATATATATATATATATACATGTGTGTGTGTGTGTATATATATATATATATATATATATATATATATATATATAGTTGTATAGTAATTTGCTTAACTCGAATTGTGGTAAATATTTTGTTTTCTCATATAAATACTGATTTTAAGTACTTTTTTTATTTTATGCAGGAACATAAAGAAATCTATATATAAGGTGACATACCTTGAAGGGCTTCCTGGTGGCCCAATTCCCAGGTAGCACTAGTATGGGAATAGTAATTACAATCTCCAAGTCATGCTTGGCCACAGACCCCCTGCCCTCCCCCACCTTACTATTCTAAACTTAGGCCATCCATTACAAGTTTGGACAAATAGTAATGGGTAAAAGGTGGGTAACCATGTGCAGGGCTGTTGAGGGGCTCTTTAAGGTTTGTCATCCTAACTACAAACATATACAGAAATGCAAAAATAAAATTTCCTTAAATGCATAGTACATATAAAGCCAAAGTTTTTTTAAATTTAAGAGTTGGGAGGTAAAAACTCCTTTCACTTTTTTTTGCTTTCTCTCTGTGTCCCTGTTGGGAAAAGTTGCCTTCAGTTACTGTCTTGGAGGAAGCAAGACTAGAGGTATAGAAATTACATATTAGGTGTTATTATTGCAGTCATTGGTTCTTACTACAGGTTATTATTTTTTTTATTGTTTGCACTTTAGATTTTTGCATTTATTAATTAACAAGCTTGCCATTGACATATTCCAGGGCAAGCTGATCATCTGGGTAGAATCAGGTGCTGTAACAAATATCTCATAGCTTAAAGTTACCAGAATGTTAGAATGAATTCCAGGGAAACCTACTGACCATGTCCACTTTTAAACCACACTCACAAATCACCTCTCCATTTGTAATCACACCCAAAAGTCACACCTCCATTTTTAACACACCCTGCAACACTTGGGGGCGATAAACATAAAAAATATGGCACATATAGTGGTGCACTGCATTGAATTGTGGGTTAGGCCAGATTGCAATGACATTGAAAGGGCCTTGCAAGTGGGTACATGCATTTTGCAGTATTTACTGTTGTTTGCTGGGATGCTAGAGACACCTGTTTCAGGGGAACAGACCCCTCAAAACTGGGAAGGTCCCCAGCAAACAGCATCAGGTGGCATTCTTACCATAGCTGTCTTGGAGACCACTGAGTGGCAGTGTTGCTATATGAAAGTCTTTTAGTGTATTTTCCTATAGCTTACAGGCATTCCACTATTTATAAAGGTACACCTGATACTCCTGCATGTACTGGATTTTTATTAGCTTTGTATAATATGACTCTCTCATGTACATTCTGTAGCTCTTCCCACAATTTTTTGCAGTTCCACACTTGCATGTGTAGCACTATCTTCAAAGGAGCCACTGGATTTAACTGGTTCTTCCCAAAACAGTGCAAAGGCCACTGTTCACACAGGCAATAGCCCATTCACTCTAGCTCCACTAAACAGTCTAGGGCAGGGGTGTTAATCTTCATCTCATTGCGGGCCGTATCAACATTATGTGCCGGTTGTCTCTGTAAGACTAGATGTCCAGAGCACCCCACCCCCATTACATCAGATGTCAAGAATTACACACCCTCTATAACATCACTGTGCACCCCTTTTAGAGGCAGAGCTGGAAAGCAGAAAGTGCAAGGTCTGGAGGAGGACCAGAGAAGGAGTGGAGTCAGTTACCAGAGTCTGCTTAATGCTGAGACCAGGGGAAGCAGAGTTGAGGTTGTGCTGCAGCTTCACTGAAAGGTACAGAATTTGGAGGAGTTCTACTCTCATTTCTGCTGCCAACTGTTGAGAAACGTTGGGGGCAGAGACAAGGGGGCAGCTGCAGAAGAGGTGCAAGGGCCACATGAAATTTCCTGGAGTTCCAGATTTGGCCCATGGACCTTTTGTTTGACACCTGTGATCTAGGGTATGACTTTTCAAGATTTCTTGCTGGTAGAACTTAACAGGAGGGGGATTGAGGTGTTATGGGATACTCCAATAAATGCACTTGTAACAGGAGGACACTCTTGTCTAGGCTAGGCTTTCCTAAACAGACTTTCTGGCAAGGGTTAAAAGGAATCATCGGCATCTTTAGTGTGGGCTCTCAGCTGTGACAGCCGGGTGCCCAGTGAGCATGCGCGAGAAGCGCTGTGCTTTGTGAATAGTACGGCATCTTCTGGGACATGACAAGTCCCAGAAGACGCCGGACCAATCACAAAGTGCAGCGCTTCTCGCGAATGCGCAGTGGGCACCCGGCTGTCAAAGGAAGGACAACTCCGCGGAAGTGGAAGCGGATACCTGTCAAATTCAGGTACCCGCTCCCCCTCCCTCCCCTAAGGTCCGCAGTCTCTTAGTCATTCCCTGTACTGTCTGCAGTCTCTGGTCATCTCTTTTACTTACTGTCCGCAGTCTCTGGTCATCCCCTGCACCATGTTCCGCAGTATCTGGTCATCTCCTGTACTGTCTGCAGTCTCTGGTCATCCTCCGCACTGTCCGCAGTCTCTTGGTCATCTCCTGTACTGTCCGCAGTCTCTTGGTCATCTCCTGTACTGTGTCCGCAGTCTCTGGTCATCTCCTGTACTGTGTCCGCAGTCTCTGGTCATCTCCTGTACTGTGTCCGCAGTCTCTGGTCATCTCCTGTACTGTGTCCGCAGTCTCTGGTCATCTCCTGTACTGTAAAAGAGAAGGGCGCAGCGCTAAAACACAATATAATTAAACCATATACATATAAAATGGTGACAAAGTGCAAAAAACTGTGCATAAGAATGGTGATAGTCCCTTTAAACATCATAAATGGTGACTGGCAAAACGAGTGTCTTCCGGTGATCAGAATGACTGAATCATGCACTCACCAGATGCATAATTCAAATATGCATATAGATGGTATCCCGATATCCATACGCAGTTGTCTCATAAACGGATTTGGTCATCATCTAAGCGCAGCAGTCCATCCAAAGGATCCTCCAAAGGTATAAAAGAGAAGGGCGCAGCGCACAGCTCTGGTCACACTGCACAGCAACACATGACCACAAGTCCGCTCTCCATATCGGAGGCTTGTGGTCATGTGTTGCTGTGCAGTGTGAGAGCTGTGCGCTGCGCATCCTTCTCTTTTATATCCTTTGGAGGATCCTTTGGAGTTGGACTGCTGCGCATTAGATGATGACCAAATCCGTTTATGAGACAACTGCGTATGGATATCGGGATACCATCTATATGCATATTTGAATTATGCATCAAGTGAGTGCATGATTCAGTCATTCTGATCACCGGAAGACACTCGTTTTGCCAGTGCACCATTTATGATGTTTAAAGGACTATCACCATTCTTATGCACAACTGTTTTTTGCACTTTGTCATCCATTTTTATATGATATATGGTTTAATTATATTGTGTTTTAGCGCTGCGCCCTTCTCTCCATTTATATGTCTTTTTAAGATTCATGATTGACCCTCCAACATGCTTCACAGTAGGCAAGGTGTTCTTTTCATCATAGGATCGTTACTTACTTATTGGCGCATAGCAGCTTTTCTATCTAGCGCTCACTTTATTTTTTACTTTTTGAATCTCCTGTACTTTTGTCCGCAGTCTCTGGTCATCTGGAGACAGCAAGGGGGTACGCCTGGGAGTTCTGTACTGTGTCCGCAGTCTCTGGTCATCTCCTTTTCTACTGTGTCCGCAGTCTCTGGTCATCTCCTGTACTGTGTCCGCAGTCTCAGGTGGTCATCTCCTGTACTGTGTCCGCAGTCTCTGGTCATCTCCTGTACTGTGTCCGCAGTCTCTGGTCCGTCCCTGTACGGTGTCCGCAGTCTCTTGGTCACACCGCTATACTGTCCACAGTCATTCTGGTCATCTGGTGCCTGTACTGTGTCCGCAGTCTCTGGTCATCTCCTGCCGAATGAACCGCAGTCTCTGATCTTTAAGGGGTTGAATCTTCTGCAAGTATGTACTGCAGTCTCTGGTCATCTCCTGCAGTTACAACGTCCGCAGTTTCTGGTCATCTCCTGTACACTATGTCCCTCCGCAGTCTCTGGGGGTCATCTCCTGTACTATGTCTGCAGTCTCTGGTTATTTCCTGTACTACTATGTCTGCAGTCCATTGGTTCAGAATATTTTTTTTCTTGTTTTCCACCTCTAAAACCTAAGTGCGTCTTATGGTCAGGTGTGTCTTATGGAGGGAAAAATATGGTATATTGACATATATTTGAAATGCTACAATTTTGGCCATATTCAATATATTTCAATAAATATATTACAAAATATATGAAAAATATTTTTAAAAATACATTTAAAATATATTGTATGTCTTTAAAAATACAAATCTACATTTTTGGAATGCATTTACAAATATATGTAAAAATATATGTTAAAAAATATATATTTTTTTAGAATGTATTCTTCATATTTTTTGTAACATATCAAAAAGTCATTTTTTCATATATTTTTACATATATTTTTAAATGCATTCCAAAAATGTAGATTTTTATTTTTAAAGACACAGTATATTTGATTGTATTTTTGAAAATATTTTTCATATATTTTGAAATAAAAATGCATTTCAACGTCCAGTATATATATTACAGAAATATATTTTGAAATATATTGAATATGGCCGAAATTGTAGCATTTCAAATATATGTCAATATATTTGGGCAGAATATTTTAAAAATATATTTCATATATATTTTTCTTCCATGTGGGAGGGCTGTGGAACTTTTTTAAGCAGGACAAGAGACAGAGATGCTCCAGACCCCATACTATTTATTTTCTTACTTGCCATTTACTGAGCACACTTCCCTATGGATTGGCTGAAGCACACTAAATATTCAAGCGGCCCATTTGCCTCTCTCTGTCCACTACGTTCTGAAAGCCTCCAGAATGCAGGAAGGAGCAATCAAACTTTCGCACTCTGCGAAACCTAGAACAGCCCAAAGGATTTAATAGCTGCTCCAATGGTTACAGAGGAGCCAAAAAGAACTAAATGTACCTACTGTCTAGCGGTGCTACACATATGTGCACAGTTTGTTCATCATGTATGCTAAGGGATATAGTTCTACTTGATCTGTATTTATTTAATGATCTGTAGGTAGGTTTGACCTGGGCTCTTGTCTACTTTCATGTACCCTCTCTTATCAGCGGCATCCTCATATTAAATGTCCAGGACTGGTAGTTCTGGTTCGTCAGATTACAAAAATGAGGATCAAAGACTATTAGTAGCCATTTATGCTTTCTGGCTTTTTTGGTTTTCAAGGACTATTTTGCTGTATGTCTGAGCTGCATCTGTATTTTCAGCAGTGTTTAATACTTTGGATGTAGTTGTGCCCATAGCCAGCTGGAAAGCTGTTGCAGTATTATTATTATTTATACAGGATTTATATAGCGCCAACAGTTTGCTCAGCACTTTACAAAATAAAAACAGTACGTTATACATTATAAGCATGGTTGTTGCACATATTGTTCTTTAACCTCCCTAGTGGTCTGATTATGTCCACATTTCTGAGCTTAAAGTGGTACTTTTTTTGCATGGAAATATGTATTTTTTTTATTGTAGGCCTGTAATTTTTAGGAATAACTCACTGAAATCTGTCCGAACAAGAGTCTAGTAAACATCCTGGGTAGAATAAAACTTGAAACACGAAATCATAAATTATAATTTAATAAATATTCATAAAAAAAATAATATAATAATAATAATACATTTTTATTCAATAATATAATCAAACCAAAAACACTGAAATTTGAAATATAGTGCCAAGTTCGCACATCACTGAGCAAAGTCGCAAACTCGTTTTCAGTGTCTGATCACGAATTTCCCCCACGAATCATTATCACTCAATTCTGCAAGTAGTTCTGATTTACTATTGCTGTTCTCTAGCTGGTCTAAAACCGCTTTTGACTAAAAGGGACGCTTTTTGGACGCCATGGACATTTCTCAGTTTCCAGGCAGAAAGAACAGTAAATATGCAGGCAGGGCACAGGACAAAGCACTAGGGACAAAATGTATGTGAAATGCTTTGATACAGTAATGTTATACTATGTGATTTTAGTGATTTTAGTGAATGTCACTTTTTGTCATTTTCAAATTTCCCGCCATTCCGTCCCCGTACGTCTCGACGTCGCAGGGGACGGAACCCTGAAGACAGATGCCGGCATCCGCCGGAGAACATTGCCGGGGACACTGCAGGAGGGACATTGTGGGAGCGCAGGACAAGGTAAGTGAAGAACAGATGCCGGAGCAGCGCCGCATGGTAAGCCCGAGTGTAGCTCGGGGATACCGCTTGTGGTACTGAAACTTTACCCCGAGCTACACTCGGGAATACCGCCAGGGAGGTTAAATAACATGCTAACACAATCAGCTGTTGGTTTGTTTACAATTTTGTGCTCTTTTGTGAATGATTTTGCACCAACTAGCCATATATTTGTTTACTTTATGAGTGCATAGGAAACAAATTGGCAAATTTGCGTGAAAACCTAATGTTTGCTATTCAGGCTTCTGCGGTCTGTCTCTGTAGCAGCAGGCAGGCAGGGCATGGCCCGACAGACAAAGATTCACACTTTCAGGAAGCAGTCAGATTCCTAAATAAAGTCATACAGGTTACAAAATGGAAAAAAGGTGTGTTTTTTTTTTTTTTAAAGCTGGGAAACATGCAATCTTCTACTGCCGCAAAATTTTAATTTACAAAGTGAGATCTGGTGACAGACGCTCTTTAGAATGCAGCCAAGTATTAAAATTTTTACAAAAAGTGTGCTCAATATCGTCATGCCATGTATGCATATTCATTTAACACATACAAGGTAATCAGGCATACAGATGAAAACTAAAATACCTTTTCTCCATCAAAAAGCTGTATAATTAGTCCTTTTCTTACGTCTGATATAATTTAAATGCTTTAGGTTGGATACCAGAAGTGATGTGCTTCTAGTCTGTGAGATACAGCTATCTTCATCCTGGCTAATGTTACCCTCTGTAGATGACATCATGTTTTTTTTCTCCTTTTCAAATTTTATGTGCTGGGATTTCACATCTGAGGAAATAAAGAAAAACAAAACTGTATGCTTCAATTTTAGCCATCAGTTTGACATGGACCTTGTTCACATAAGTTTTGCAAGCTGATGTACAGCACGAGTTCCAGATGTCTGCTCAGTTCAAGGTGAAAAGGTATGAATGGAACAACTCAATACATAGTAGCACTCATTGAAGCATGCACTTATCTTCAAGCTTCATTGTGCTGTCAAAGGCAAGGTAGGCCCATTGACTTTCATAGCACCAACCTGTTGGAACCTGACTCAATGTCACGCAAGCACAGGATGTACTTCTGCAATCAGCTCTTGTGTGAGCAAGGCCTAAACCACAACCCCTATATTTTCATTTTACCAATGCTAAATATACAAACTAGGGTGGACCTGTCCATTTTATGCATATTTCTATGTAGTAATAACCTCAAGTGTATTTTATTAATACTATTAAGGCCTCATTCACACAAATGTCCTCTTGCCTACACCCGTGCAAAAGGCTGTCTTTACCCACATGAGAGGCACAGGAGTCCCACACAGTTGTGTGCAGGTAGGCTATTTAAAGCGATTCTAAAGATAATTTATTTTTTAAAATAACAAACATATTATACTTCCGTGCTCTGTGCAATGGTTTTTTGACTCAGTGGGAGCCAATGGCCCCTGCTATCGTTGCTGCCTCTCTGTCCATGGCCTATACTTACCCTTGTACTCCATTGGTCCACATGTGCTGCTTTCGGTTTCCTGTCCTGAGGCTGCGTGGTTACCTACCTTGGGATCCTTGATGCCTCCTCCTCCCAGTTACAGATGCACGAATGACTGTAATGCATGAGAATATCTATACAGAACAATTTGCCAATTTGCCAATTATTGTGTGCTATGTCCACTTCTCCATCTTGCTGCACTTAGATTGCGCCCCTTTCCCTTCTCTCTTAGCTATTGCAGGTGCCATCTAGACCATATCCAGTGTATCCACTGTGGCAGTTTCTTTGGTGTCCTCCTCAGCTAGGAATTCTTTTGGGAACCATGATAAGCATAATTTGTTTTACTTCATGTGAGTTGCTTATTGTTTTCCTTTAATAAATGTTCATACACCCACTACACTTCACAAATTCAATAATTATGAAAAAACCTGTGAAAACATAGTCTCCAGAAACCAAAAATGATGCACTCGTGTCCAAAGGTAAAGTCATTCCTAATAATGATTTCAATAAGGAAAAAATCCCAAATCCTAGTTAGCGAGCCCTCCAAATGGCTCCAACGGATAATGTGAACCTCAAAAAAAAAAAAGAAAAAACTAATATAGTGCATTACCCTCATAAACAAAATGATCAAAATTAACAATATGCAATATGCTCTGTGCAACTTCAAATCAAGCGTGACCACCTAAGGGAAAAGTGAACTCTGTGTAACAACTGTGATGGTGAATCACTCTTTTGAATAAAATTATCCAAGTGCCAATAGCCGTGTACACCTCTACAGTGTAAGGAATAAATACCCTTACCAAATGGCCATAAAACCACGCCTTAATACCACAAGGGGTATATTATATTTGTTCCAAAGACTGCCTTTCCAGCCTGAGTATTAATCTTTATGATGTCATCACAGCCTCATAGATGTTTCTTCTAGAAGTCATCAGGGCTTTTAGCTGGAGCACTCCATAGTACTCGTAGTACCTATGCTCCATTGATGTACATGATATATGGAAAGGATATAGTGTAATTCCGTATATAATGTTCAGAATATACTTTATTATTGCTCCTACATTAATAAAACCTTAAAAAACGCCATATTCCCATGACTCCAAACCTCAAAAGTATATTCTGAACATATATGTATATTCTAACTTGGGCAGCACAGTGGCTAAATGGTTAGCACTTCCACCTGGCAGTACTAGGGCCGTGGGTTCGAATCCCAACCACGGCACCACCTGCATGGAGTTTGCATGTTCTCCCTGTGCCTGCGTGGGTTTCCTCTGGGTACTCTGGTTTCCTCCCACACTCCAAAGACATGCTGGTAGGTGAATTGGCTCCTGTCTAAAGTGGCCCTAGTATGTGTATGTATGAATGTGAGTTAGGGACCTTAGTTTGTACGCCCCTTGAGGGATAGGGACTGATGTGAATGTACAATATATATGTAAAGCACTGCGTAAATTGACAGCGATATATAAGTACCTGTAATAAATAAATAAACTTTGGACACAAGTGCGTATATTTAGGTTTTAGAGACTATATTTTTCACGGGTTTTTTCACAATTATTGAATTTTTGTATTTCAGTAGGGTTTGAGCATATTGAGGTATTATTAAGAATATTACACTTTCAAGGATGAAAGTTAGACTTGTATGCTATAGGGTGTTAGCTGTTTATTCGTATATTTAGTTGGATACTGTATGTATTTATTTACCCACTACACTTCCTCTGCACACTCTGCTCCTTTTGTCAAAGGCTAAAGGAGCCACTTCCTGATGTAATTAAGCAGTATACTGTAAACATAAGGCAGCAAAAGTGGTGACATTGGAATACATACTGAACCACAATGAAATAAAAGCAAAAGGTGAAAGAACATCACACCTGGAAACACAAATAAAACAAATATACAGTTGTTATAATAAGTATTGAACACTTCACCATTTTATTAAATATATTTCTAAAGGTGCTATTGACATGAAATTTTCATGACATGTCTGTAATAACCCATGCAATCCATACATACAAATAAACCAAAAGGACCACTTGTAGAGAACTTCAGAAAGATCTGGGAATAGCAGTTTCAATTGTTTCAAAGCAATAAGTAACGCACTCAACCACCATGGCCTGTATGCACGCTCACAACGCAATACTTAATTGCTGAAGGAAAAACATGTTTCAGCTCTTTTAAAGTTTGCTGCACAACATTTAGACAAGCATGTGAAATACTGGGAGAATATAGTCTGGTCGGTTGAGACCAAAATTGAACTCTTTGGATGCCAATATACACACCATGTTTGGAGGTCAAATAGCACTACACATCACCCCAAAAACACCATACCAATATTGAAGTTTGGAGGTGGGAACATCATGGTGTGGGGCTGTTTTTCAGCATATGGTACTGGCAAGCTTCATATCATTGAAGGAAGGATGAATGAAAAAATGTACCAAGACATTCTTAATAAAAATCCACTGCCATCTACCAGGATGATGAAGATGAAACAAAGGTGGACAGTTCAGCAACACGATGATCCCAAACACAAAGTCAAACAAACTCTCAATTGGTTTCAAAGACAGAAAATAAAGCTGCTTGAATGGCCCAGCCAATCACCTGACTTGGATCCAATAGAAAAATCTATGGAAAGAACTAAAGATCAGAGTTCACAGAAGAGGCCCACTGAATGAACCTTCAAGATTTGAATACTGTGTGGAAGAATGGACCAAAATCACACCTGAGCAATGTATGCCACTAGTTTCTCCATACAGGAGGCGTCTTGAATGCTGTCCATTACCAACAAAGGATTTTGTAAAAAGTATCAAATAAATTTCAGTTAGCAAGTTTAATACTTTTTCCCCTGCGTCATTCTATTTTATTACACCTAACTTAGTTTCTGAGTGTATTGGTTTTAGTTTCTTTGTATGTATGGATTGTATGATTTGTTACTGACATGTGGTGAAAATTTCATGTCAATAGCACCCTTCTAAATATATTTACCGAGAAAAATGGTGATGTGTTCAATACTTATTTTACCCGATAAATATATATATATATATATATATATATATATATATATATATATATTTTTTTATATATATATATTTTTTTTTTTTTTTTCATATAATAATGATACTTTAATAATTTAGACTAAAATAGCCTAATTTAAAGTGGAACTTCAGTCAGAAAATGAAGTCCAGATAGATCATGCTGGCCCCTTTTGCAACTATATCTATATAAAACATTAAAAATAAGTGTCTATACTGTCTTAAATCCTGTAACACAATATGAACATGCAGTGCACATGCTCAGTTTCCCTCTATTTTTTTGGCACTGTGTCAAAAATATAGAGGCTGATATGCTGACAGCTTAAAGATTTACTGTTGCTCAGGAGCTCTAGGCTTCAACAAAATGGAAGCCTCTGACAAGAAGAAACAGAGCAAGAGAATGTCACCAGTACACCACAGATCTCCAGACCAGGTCCAAAGCTTTATTCAGCGTTCACATCAATATAACAAAAGCAATGTTTCAGAGCCTTGCAGGACCCCTTTGCCAGGCATGTGCCGAAGAAGTCCTGCGATGCTCCAAAAATGTGCTTTTATTATAATGATGTGATGGCTGAATAAAGCTTTGAACCCATTCTGGAGTTCTGTAACATGCTGGTGACATTCTATTGTTCTGATTACATGCAGTTCCAGCTGGTTGTTGCAGCAGCACCCTTTAACACCTACATTCACTTTGTAGGAATGTATGTGTTGAGAATAGTATGCTTGAATGGCAAAAAAAGAAACAGGAACAATGATGGAGGCAATTTACAGCACACACTCATTTTGGTAGCATAATAATTCATTTGGAATGTATGTTCCTTGCTAAAGTTACGGGCAAAGTTCTGCTTTAAATATGAGGGTAATGATATTATATGGCCACTAGATGGAGACAAAATAGTAAGTTTATAAGTGAACCTATAAAAACCTATATATCTGCATCAGGCTAGTATCTAATATGTAAGGAATGAATGAGTGACCTGAAAAATTATACAGCATAAAGGTCCATTCCAGGGCAGTGTCTTAAACATCATGTTTGCAATCATCTTACACATGTATGGTCACATTCCACAAACCCATCACACACACATACTTGCCTGAATCAATATTCTCCCTGTAGCATTCTATTACCTTTTAAATTGCCTATCTACATAATAACCTCAAGCATTCACAGATCAATTCACAGGGATTTGTGAATGGAAGT